AGTATCCACAACTCTTTCCAGATCCATGAATTGTATCTTGTCTTGTGTTTTAAACTTTGAATTTCAGGACGAAATTCCCTTTAACGGGGGGATAATGTAACAACCCGAAATTTCGGTACCATCTCTTGTAACTCTTTCGTAGTACAATTTACGCAACCAAACGTCGTTTCCAAATTCGATTTCTGATCTTCCGTTTAATTAAGTCATTAACTGGTATGTATTTAAAATGACTTAATGGGTGTCTTAATACATTTAGAAATCATTTTGACACCCAACTTTAGTGATCGGAATATTCTAGAATTTACGGTATCGGGTTACGGCAACCTAATCGGGTACGACCAAAAGCCTCGTCTAACGCCGGTATCGGGTAGAATTCCACCGTGTCCAAAACTTAAACACGATATAATGTGTCTTAAGCCTCCATTTGAAGCCTTTGGCCATTTCTTATAGAACACTCCCAACCTCTCTCCTCATCCATAATCAAAGGTCCAAAGCAAAGATTTAAGGCTTCCAATCAAAGAGGTAACACCCCTAACTTGTTATTCAACCTCTTTAGCCTTCAAATTGATGTTTAAATTATGTTTTGGGACCAAGAACATGAGTTTACGGCCAAGGATCAAGCTTGGGCCGTAAACTCCTCATAATGGGGTTTTTGAGCCAAATTACCCTTCCAAATCATAGTTGGGACTTCAATATGACCTTAAGGCTTGCTAATCTGGACTTGGAACACTTTAAATATGAATTTTGGGGCACAAAATAGAGTTTATGGCCAAGGATCCTTCTTGGGCCATAAACTCCATTAAATTGGGGATTTAGTGCCTTTAAACATGTCCAAATGCCTTGAAACTCAACCAATGGCCTTGTGGTAAAATCTAGATGCATCTAAAAATAGTTTAAGGGTTTTTAACACATCAAAAATGCCATTTATAGGAGTTTACGGCCTAGCAACATACCCTTGGCCGTAAACTCATAAAACTTTGTTAAATCATGCATCAAATTCACTCTAATGGCTTGCATAAATTTCTAGAATCACATGTGATTGTTATAAGCATCAAAAACTAACTTTTCATGAGTATAGGAGAGTTTACGGCCATAGAACATGCCTCTAGGCTGTACACTCCTAAAAGTATGTTTAATGGTGTTCTAAATTTATAACAAGGCTTGGAAAATTAACTAGAATCACATGTGATTGTCCTTTGTAACTTAAAAATCATTTTTCTTGGCCATGGGTGAGTTTACGGCCGTAAACTCCAAGTGTGTGGCCGTAAAATCCCTTTTAAGTGATATAATTCCATTCATTCTATTCCAAGGAATTTTAGAAATCCATTCCAACAATCCCCATGTCCATTTAAGCCATTAAACACTCAAAATCACACCAACATGAATTTACGGCCGTAAAATCATGTGTGGGTGTGTTATGTGGCTGTAAACTCTTTAAAATGCTTACTCTTAGGGACTAAACTCAAGTCCCAAGTCCCTAGTGCCATTACACGTCCGAAGATGTCACCCGGGTCACTCCAAACGCTCGTTTTGAGGTGTTTAACCTCGTTAGAGTGTAATGTTCCATATGATTAGTGAATGTATCCCTAATTGTATATATATGGACATTATTTCATTTTACATAGGGACATTGCGAGTAATCAAACCCCGAATCAACGTCTAGTATCCAAAACCAACGCATTTCCAAGTCCGATGAGTTCATACCCCTACCCTTCTTCACTGTTTTCACTATTTTCAGGGGGGAACACAAGCAAAGTACAAGGGAATTCTTGTAATCAAAACATGTTTTAAAATGTGTGTTTCATATTCCATATGCTTTTATTACTGATTACCACGACTGATAACCATTTGAACATGCAGAACACGTAACATATATTTGTGAAATAGGTCTTTAAACTGTTATGTTTTACATATATTTCACAAATGGATTTCCATATTTTATCAGTTAAAAGCATGACATTAGACATTTGAATATAATACCTGTACACTGTTTTGTCCTCGGTAACACTCCACACATATACGCGAATGGAGGACTATCATATATTTACTAGTAAATTTGTTAATCCTGTATGATTGGAGACACGTCCTCGGCGAACACTCCACAGAGATACGCGAGTGGAGGACTACACCCATAACCAGAATCTCTGGTATTTAGAGAGCGTGACTTGAGTGTATAAATCTATACGGGGCTGACTACCCCACACCTGGCTGCTAGCTACAGCCGAACCGAAATGGTTCAAGGGTGATGAAAGTCATAAGTATGTGGACTACTTATTGCCACATGTGGACTACTTATTGCCACAGGATTCAGTCTATCGTATGGTTATGGAACTTGCAATTAGGATAACATAGATTTACTTAAAGTAATAATAAACCACTTTATACATCTTTTACAACTTTTACATCTTTCACGTACGGTAACTAACATTCAGGAAAGTATGGGACTCTCCTGGGGAAAACATGGAACCTAATCACGTTTAAATCTTTTACATCTCTTACATCGTTCACATTGAAAACCAACAAGCAGGATAGCATGGGGCTTTCCTGGGTAACACTTACATAACTGGAAAGAGTAACAAACTGGGTAACATTACATCTTTTACAATTGGTAATATACAATAAGGAAAGTATGGGACTTTCCTGGGAATACATGATAGGTAAACAGAACAGTTTAACAAGTCGGATAACCAAACTATACATTTTTACATGAGTAGACATGTTCTCAGTGTACAAACTTACTATACTTTACAATTGTGAAACAACAACCAACTTTTAAGAAAATATGGGATTTTCTTGGTATACATTACATTTCAGAAACAGAAAGAAAACTTGAAACATTTTCACAAACAAAAACCGCTTATGAACTCACCAGCGTTATGCTGATTTTTAAACCGCTTGTGTTCTCAGGTCAACGTTAGAACAGGTACCCGAAGATCTCTTTTTGGTCAGAAGACGAAGTACATGAAGATCCGTTTCATTTTTGTTCATATATATACTATGTATCACAACTGTACAAACTTTACTTTTGAAACAACTGTAAACTTTTCTTATGTAATGTAATGGTTGTTTTACTTTACTTACTATGTGCATTGGATTTGATACTCAACGTGGAGTCAACCCTGCAAAATGTTTCCGCCTTCGGTTTTCGGGGTGTGATAGAAACCCCTGGATACCCCCAATAGCAGTGTGTTGTATTATTCTACATGAAAACCTTTGTATGAAATCCCTGGTTACCACCAGTAATGTATAGCATTGTTTTGTTATGAAAACCTTTGTATGAAATCTCTGGTGACCACCAATAATGTATAGTACTTTTATTACTTAAAATATAACCATGTGTTTGTATTCCATGGAATCCTCCAGTAGTATTGTATAGTAGTTCTGTTAATTAAAATAAAACTATTAGAAGAATTGAAATCCTAAAAACAAATATTTACTTTATACTATTGTGAGTTTGGTATAACCATGCTTGATGTGACCTAGTGACCTCTACGGCGTCCTTCTGGCGTCGGAATGGTATGAAATTTGTCACCCAAGGCCTGCCAGCCTAACTGTAGCTAACAATTCAGGTGTGGGATTGTCAGTCCCGTATAGATCTATACACAAATCTCACGCACTCCTTCCAGGAGACTCTGGTTATATTGTATAGGATTTAGTTTCATACCCTGGTGGATACAATTGAAGTAGTGCCTCACAACCATGTATTAACTACTTTACGTGTAGTGTTGTAGTATTTTCTTGTACTTGAAACAGTATGTATAACATATTAGTGTAAAATAATTATAATTAAATAATTATTTATTATTGTACTCTTGTATTTGGAAAATAGAATTGTATAGCATAAACTATATCCACCATAGTTTATATGTTTGTTTCAGTATAGTGTTCTTGATAAAGTAACACAGTGTAATGTATCCCAAACTATAACTATTATAGTTTGTATGTATGTTCTCATTTCGTGAATTGAATTCTGTATAATTTATGTAATGTACCCGAACTATATCAACTATAGTTTAACTGTAAGTTATGTAATGTACTGAAAACTTTTCAATTTGGGTTGTATGTTGAAAACTACCCTTATGCTCAACATAATACAAAAGGGTTAAAATATCTTAATACTTTTATAAAACATAGTGATTACTCTCTTTGTATCAATTGCAAAAGTTTGTAATCTGTTTGAAACCATTGGTATAAAAACACAAAAGTCCTTGTGTTTTACGTGTATTCCCCTGAAAGCATTAAAATAGTGAAAACATAGGGGTATAAACTCATAATTGTTTATGTGTATGTGCTAGACAGTGAGACTGGAAAGATGACCCTCGAGTTGACATACGCGGAATTAATGGTATCCTAATAATAGTTAAACACATAATTGAATTTAAATTATCAAAACCATTAACTAAAGTGTTGGAAAAACACTTGTTTTTTGTGTTGAGAGTGATTACCGAAAATTGTTTGAAGGAAATGGGAAGATTTTCTGTCAAAGCTCATCCGAAAATTAGATTCTCAGTCCCGGTGTGTTTTTTGTCGGAACAGGCTTTCAGCCAAACACAACTTCTTAGCCGAAAACGAGTTCTCGGTTCTGATAATGTTTTCGGTCACTTGAAGATTTGAAGGATGTTCTTGGCTTTCTTGGTGTTCTTGGTCAAAATAAGAAGATTCAAAGGTTTCCACTTGAATATATGAGTGTTCTTGGATGATCTTTGGGAGCAAAATGAGAGTGCTTTTGGGTGAAATGTGTGAGAAATGATGAAGTTTCTAGATGAAAAGCTTATATCCGGTTTGCTTTTTGGCCGGAAAAGGGGTTCTCAGCCGAATTTTATTTATCGAATTTCACTTTTTTTGACATGGAAAGTATTGGGTTATCACGGAATCTGAATCCTCTTGAGCGACAGGAGAAGGAGATCTTGGTTTGCGAGTAGACACCAAAATATTTTTTCTGGAGTTTGAGCTGGTTTGGAAGGTCCAGTTGTCGCTTTTTGTGTTCCTCCATTTTTGGGCTAGTTTCCCTCTTCAAGTGCCCTTCGCAAATCTTCAGGCATAGGACGAGAATCTGAGGCAGGCTTCTTACGATACTCACTGATAAGTACATTGTTTGTTGGAACTTTGAGTAGCATAGCTTCCGGAATGGATCCTATGAAGTCGAACTTGGTAGGATCGGACACAATAAAGTTGGAAGTGTGAAAGATTGGAATCGCAGCGATCACAGAGATATATTGTACCTGTATCTGATGGTTAACAATTGCACGTTGAACAATAATTGACCAGAAGCAACCACATGAGATCTTCGAGTGCCTTGAAGTCGAAATTGTGCTTTAAACTAGTTGAGCCCAGAGGATGGAACCATAATCAAGGTTAATCCAAGAATACAGACGATAGTTTATTATGCATAAAAGCTTGCTAGAACTATCTGAACCTGTAACTCACACTGAGAATCTCTTAAACAGTACAGTGAAAAACTCATTCAACATAGTAGGCAGGTTGGGCTTTTTTAACTTTGATATGAGAGAGAGGTTTTCCAAATACCCCATTTGGTAGAACATATCCTGAATCACAGATGAAGAAATTGATTGCGGATCGACCAGAACCTCTGATGAAGAAAACCCTAGCATCCTACTGAATTGGGCCTTGGAGATGGAGGTTTTGTAGGAATCAACCTCGGAAGTAATCACAACATCATTCTATTGGTAGCTTGCAATGGAGAACACCTTGGTCAGATGGACCAATGGTACATTCTCAGCCATTGTTAGCGCTTGAGCCAACGGAGAGTAACGAAGGCACTCGATCATCAGTTTGAGAGATTCAACATACTTGGAGGAATCGAGATCCAAAATGATTTTTTTTGTTTGGTTTAATGCTCATCATGACCGATAAAGCGGTCTGTTCAACAACAAAAGGGGTTTCAGAAGAGGCAAGCATGGAAACCATTGGAGCAGATGTTGAACAGTGTAGAGAAAAAGAGGGTTTTCCACTTTAGAAAATTTGAAATCTTTGAAAGTGCTGAAGGGAATCAAGTGTCAATTACCCTTTTATAAGGTATAAGTGGTGAGAGAAATCCAGTAATTCATGGTTCCAAATCCTTGAAAAAGTGCATGAAAAGTTGTGACAGCTATACGTGTGTTAGGTGCTGTAACTGACATGTGTGAATTTAGGAACTTTTGAAAATACATGCCCCCACATAGAAATCTTATCCGTTTAAAACTGCCATTTCAGTTCTGCACATTCATAACCAAGCATTACATAACCTGTTTGAAATAAGTAGCGATAACCTATTTTCATAATTCAAAGCAACCATTCAAAATTTTAAGACCAAACTATTGAATCACAAGGATTCTTGTGCAAGTGTGTGCCAAAGATAAAGAAATAAAACAAGTTATATCTAGTAATTTATGAAGTCAATTATAAATTGACATACAAACAGTTGGATCCCGGGCAACGATCTCTTCCTTCAGAGTCAAAACAGACTCGAAAGTGCTTGTGTGGTATCCCATTGAATTACGATCATATGTTTGTTGAGAAACAGTAAAAGACTTCTTTTCGTTAGGCTTAAGGATGGCTTCATCTTCTACCAAATTCTGATACTCAACGGAAGTCCGAAAGTATGGAAGAAGTACTTGTCTGACTAGTGTAGCGATAACAACAAGTATGCTTTGGATTTATTTAATTGGTTGGATAATATAGAAATGTCATTAAAAATAAAAACATGATCTTTTGGGAAGAAAAACCTTGGGTCGAGATCATTTCATTGACATCTCGCAAAAATAAAAAGAATAAGATTCCAAGGTACAAACCACAAGGGTTGAATTTTGTCAATTCCATAGTGAAAAATCTAGAACATATCAATTATTCCACCATCAATTCAGAAACTGATTTCGAATTTTGGGTTTCACCTAATTCATGGTGACAACAAATTTAAGATCATGAGCACAACCATAAACCTCAGTAGTAATATCTAAGCGTCTTGAGGGTTAGATTTACATAATCATTCCCTTCATATTTAATTACTCTCTTTTGACCACAAAATTAATTCCAAATTAATTCTTGGAAAATACTAATTAAATAACCATATTAATATATTATACTTATAATATATTAATAAATCATAAATAACCTTATTCACAAAAAACCATCCTATCAAATCGCACTAGTGAAGGCAACCCAAAATGACCATGCTACTATCGGGTCAAGTACATACCAGTTATAGTTATCGGCTTAGACACCAAATCCAATAGTCTCCCACTTGGATAATTCTAGTAACGATGGTTGTCAATATTGATGGGTTTTGGTCATAAGAACATCCTATGTGCTCATACAAACCCTAATGCTTGGATCTAGGTTTCCCTATTGTACATGCAAGTTATCCAAGACTATAAACCCTAATTCTAACATATGATAATCAATATTAACATATAATTAGGTTTAAGATATTACCTTGATTGTTATGTAGCAATAACAATCCAATTCCTCCTTATATTGACTTTAGAAAGCTTAGAGTCACAAATGTCACTCCTTTAATGGTTCACAAACACCATAAGCAAGAGGATGAAGAGGAGAGAGGATGGAGGCTGCCCAAAACGTGTTCTAACCCTAGAAGAAGTCTTAGCCCCGTTTTTGGTCCTTAAGGGGTCTATATATAGTGAGGCTATTAGGGTAATCTAACAAGGAAACCCTAATTTGGATGCTTAAGCCCTAAGCAACCCATGGACTCCTTTAATTAAGGCCTTGGACGATTTCTTATGGGTTTTCCCATAGAATTCGTCCACTCCTTAATATATAACAATCCATAGCCCAAATTGCAATTATCTTATAATTACAATTCCAGTCCCTTAAGTTTAATTAATCTCTTTTAGTCACAAAACTAACTACTAATTAATTCTTGACTAATATTAATTAAACAATATGATTTCTCCTTTAATATATTATTCTCATAGTATATTAATAAATCATATTTAATCCTTTCTCTCCATAATTCATCCTATGAAGTTGCTTTGGTGAAGGCAACCCAAAAGGACCATGCACCATCGGGTCAAGTACATACCAAAATAGTTATGGACTTAGACACTAATCCAACAGTGTCTCACTTGGATAAGTCTAATAACTATTCTGCGTATGACTTCAGATCCTGATATGCAATCGTAGCTTTCAAAGCCGCTGTCAACTCTGATCCTATCAGATACGCGTGTCCTTTAGATAAGGGATCATATATTCCTCCATTCTAGATATCGTATGAGATATGATTTCTAATCATTCTCTTTGTACTATTTCTCGATTTCCGATTTATGACGATTGACTAATTGAACAAATCAAATTAGCCCTAGCCCAGCCGAGCATTTACGTTTGTCATCACTAAACCATCAAGGGGCCCAAAGATATCGCTTTTATCCTACTTTGGATAAAAGGAAAGAATAAACTTTGATACAATGCTTGCTTGCACTCACTCACCGAATCACACACAACAATATGTTTTATAACACCAAGTTACTAGTGCGTTTTCATATTATCAATGTGCAACCGATTTGCAAGATACAACTCACACATCTCGGTTTCAAGAATATAAGATGTTATCGTCTCACCAATCACTCGTGATACAATTCATGGAGTGATCCAACTGAGCCTGGGTTTAATCCAATGCTCAAATTCATATTCATAAGCACTCATGAACGTTGCAGCAAATATTTGCTTATATCTAATACTCTTTTAGACAATCCACACACCAATTCACGACAGTCTTCATTCATACCAACTTCCAACATATGAACGACTGTGGCCCGTTCGAATAATTTGACTGTTCTTAACCAATTAAAATATTCAGGAAGTCAAAACATGCAAAGTGAAACACAAGAATAATACTAATCCCATATGGCCTCAAACCTTTGAGTATAAATAAAAGTCCTTTTTTTTTATCACCATATCGATTACTCATTATTTGTCGTTTCGAGTAATCAACTTCTTACTTGAATTATTACACTTGTCCCATGCTCCTAGCATGCACACAATGTTTACCTATGGTTCTTACATTGTGAAATGGATCAAATTGAGCACATTTCCAATCGTTCTCATTTCACAACTCAAAATCCCTTTTCATAAGTGAAAGAATATCAAATTCTTACGACTTATAAAATATGCTATATTCTAACATTTTATGCTATGATCCTTCCGTAATGTCACTGTACCAAAGTCACAAAGACTATTGCCAATGATATTACAAATTCCTCTATCGGAGATTGTTACAAGACAATTCGTTAGATATGATGTCTCTCACTCAAAGTACATTCATTTGAACATCCTTTTGCATAAAAGTTTCTAATCTAGACATAGATTTTCAATATTTAATTCCCAATATGGACACGTTTCCATATTTTCCATATGACAACTTATTCTTAATAGAATCTTATCTATTCGTAATAATGTCGATATGGTCCATCCAATATGGAAACATTTCCATAGTTTCCATATGACAACTCATTCTTAATAGAATCTTTTCTATTCATAATAATGTCGATATGGTCCATTCAATACCATGCTTCCAACTACTCATAAGCAACTAATCGTCGTCGAACTTTGGATTGTCCTTTGATAGTTGTTTAATTATTTTAGTCAAAACCGATTCTAGTCCCTTTTCCCTCTAAATGCACTATACATTTTGAAAATTTTAGAATGGTCAAACATTAAAGCATTTGCAATCGATCCTATACCCGAAGCGTATGGGACACGACACATAATGTTTGATTTGCTATGTTCTCAAAATTCGAATTGTGAAGAGGAATTCCATAATCATAATCGAAATTTTAAGAACACACTATGTACCTTTGACTAAATTTATTAACATTTCTCAACCTAAGCCTTTATATTTGAAACGAAGCATAATATTCTCTCCCTTAATTATAGCAAAACAACTTTACAATCTTTACGACTTTGCAAGGTATAATTCTTGTTTTCTATAATTAATATTGCCAACTTGCAATATGTGCCTTAATAATCATACAATCATAACATTTATACTCCCACTATCATGATGATTATTATAAAACATAACACTTATGCTCCCACTAGCTTCGACATGTATTCAAAAACATCTTAACTTTCAGAAAAACAATACTTATTGAATTTCTTAAGTCCATGTTTCTAATACTTAATGCTTTGATAATTTTTTATCAAGGCCTCTTAAACTTATACGCCTTTTCCTTAGATAGCTTATATGTCTGTCTAAACAATTAAGAATAATTGCCAAACCTCACAATTCAAATTATGGAAAGGGATATCGTAACCATAATCGAATTCGAGAATGCAATTTTACAATCACTATCTTCTTAAAATCTTTCTTAGTGAAAGCATTTCGTCACAATCATTTTCATGAAGGACGAAATCTTATGACACTTAGATTTAAACAGTGTATTTGTTCCTATCCATGTGAATTTGTCAAAACCAAAGTTTACAACAAATTCAAACTCATATGGATCGAACTTTCTTAATCTTGATTTCTTGCCTTATGGTGGCACAACTGCCCAGCATGTCTTCCAAGTAGTTAAGCAGCTCACCCTCCCTATCAATGTACCTTTCATTGATTAAGGTGCCTTGCCTTTTATGCATTCAAAATGAGAACTCATAGAAC